GTCTGCCTGGACTTCTGATTTACTCTGGGAATAATTTGTGTTTATTTGTGTTGTTCTGAACTACTGAATTTGCAGTAATTTGTTACGGCAGCCACAGGAGGTTAAGGCAGAGGTAGAGCTGGGGTGCAGACTGAGGGTGAACTAACTGTCTGTGGAGTCAGCTGACCTCAGAGGCTGGCACACGGCGGATGCTCAGATACTTGTTGAATGATGTCTTTCCAGGAAGGAGAGTTTTGAGTGATGTTCTGATGGTGAGAAAACATTGACATAGGTGAAGGCAGGCTTCATAAGCACAGGCTATCACGTGGTGAAGCCGTACTTGGGAGGCACAGTAACTCAGCTGTTAAGAGGTAAGATCAGCTTCAGCAGAGTACCTGGGGCCCAGAGAGTGGTCGATCAGTTTGATGAGGCGCTTGAGTGAATAGTGGCCTCAGCATTAAGAAAAAGAGATGTAGAAAACACCAGACAGTATCGTGGGTAGCACGGGCAAGAATTGTTCGGTGAGCTGTGCATGGTCTGTGTGGCAAGCCCAGGGTCACTATGAGCGCCTTGCTGGAGGCACTGCTTGGGAGAGGCCAGACGTCCATGGGGGTCAGGAGGGATGGGTGAGGGGTGTGAGTAGCTGAATGACTTTTCAATGTTACTGTCAGTGGTTTTATTTCACTGATTTTCTCCTTCAGGTGGCTGTGGATCATGCTTTTATTCCTACGTTCCCGCAGCTTCACCCGGGTGCAGGGGAAGGACACGTGGCGGCTCTGGTGGTATCTGGGGGCCTTGCCTTGGGCCTGCAGCTGCACTGGCAGCCCTGCAGTGCCCCATCTCCTGTCCAGTGCTTCCCTGGCTTTCTGTCTGGATCTCCTGTCTTCGTGGCACATGACATTCCCGCTTAGTTCTTGCATTTTTCTCTTGGACTCTTGAGCATCTTGAATATACTTTGTCACAGAGAAGGCCTCCCCATAGAAGCTCACTGCTAGACTGCCGTCATCTCATGACAGCACTTTTACCTGCCTTTTCTGAACTTCCTTTTTCCATCTTGGTGTGTCTTACTGTAAGTTGAATGCTACTGTGTTGGACGTTGTGTCAGACATCGACAGTCTGTGACATGTAGAGGAGGCCCTGTTTCATAGCGGAGGAAGTCAAGGATCAGATAAGTTGAGAGCCTCATGCCAGGCCATGTCTTGTGTTGCAGAATGAATGTGTTTGAGCCCCAAGCCTAGTACCCTTTTCTGTTTGCCGTGTTGCTTTCTGTATGTAGGCCGTGTGTCAATGTCTGCATATCACCCTTCAAGGAGTCCTGTTTTCTGTTCACACACAAAGGCTGTGTTTTTAAAATACCTTTTTGTCTTTCTAACAGATTTAGTTTTTAGTTAATCAGGCAGTTTTCCCATTAGTTCAAGTTTTCTGTATCAGCTCGGGCACCCGAAGTGGTGATTGTGAGGTAGGCAGTAGATGGGGTGGGAGAGGTAATGGAGCTGCGTCAAGAGTTGTCTCTTCAGTCATAGGGAGAATTTTGCTGCTTTGGGGTTTTGCGTAGAGCTCAAACTGATGTAACTTCTGGTTCTAACAGATCACTGCCGTGTTGAATGGCTTGAAGGGTCCCAGAGCAGAAACAGGGAAGAGGTGATAGGTATCATCTGTGACATCAACTTTGTGTCAGCTTGGCTGGGCCATCATGCCCATGTATTGGTCAAATATTATTCTGGATGTTTCTGTAAAGGTGTGTGTCTTGCCAGTGGGTTTCAGCCCCCGGCAAGTTCACTATGGATTCAGTGTGACCAAAGAAATGACAGTAGAACGTTCTTGGGGTGAAAGGGTTATACCCAACTTTATTTCCACGGTGGCCGTTCAATCACTAGAATTCCATCCACTCAGAGCGAGTCTGCGCACAGCAAGCGGGTCTCTGTCCCTGGGCCTCTCTGCCCACGCTGCCGCCACTCCAACCTCTGCTCTCCTCTCCCGCAGCCTTGCAGTGGTGCCGCCGTGTCGCCCAGGGCACTGGGCAGGGCTCTTTATCTAGAGAGTAACAACATACTGCCCACCTGTGTGTAGTGAGCTAGCTGGCCAGGGCCAGGTGAGAGTCCTGGCCAGAGGAACTTTCATTTTACCCACAGCATCACTATGAAGTGCTGTGGAAATAGTAACGGGTGTCGCGGTAGCCCGAGAGGAGGCGGCACGGGAAGAAGGAGTGGCCCGAGGAGCAGCCCGAGGAGCATGAGAGCGCAGGCTGCCAGGTGCCGTGGGGCAGGCGACAGATGCTGTGGGGCCGCCCGCCCCAGAAATGGAGGAGCAGGTGAGGGTGGCGGCCCTGCCAGTGCTGGAGGCATCCGTCCCTCCTGGGTTGAAACCCCATCTGGTGGAAAGCTGGTGGGAAGCCCGAAGGACTCGGCAACCACGGGTCCTTCCAGGGGAGGTGCAGCCCCTCCGCAGGCTGTGGGGCGCTCCACGCTCTGCTTCTATCCTCAGGCTCAAGCAAAAAAGGAAATACGGTCTGCTTCTCGGAGGAAGAATTTAAAGGGCCCCTTGAAGGTCGCGAGGACCCAGATGTGAGTTGGTTTGAAAAGGCAGGAGCAGACAGAGAGAAACTGGACTGGAGCTGTGGCGGTGACTGGGACCGGAGCAGCGGTTCTGGCTGCTGAGGATGAAGCAGAGGCAGAGATGAAGCAACAGGATCGGCCTGTGTGTCTGCAGGACACACGTGTGGGCAATACGTTGCTATTGACTCTATAAAGAGCTCTCCCAGTGCTCCGGGTGACACGGTGGCATGGCTGCAGGACAGCAGAACAGAGGCTGGAGTGGTGGCAGCGCCGAGGACAGACAGCTGAGAGATAGAGAGGCTCAGAGGCAGAGACCGGCTTGCTGTGCGCAGACTCACTCTGAGTGGGCGGGATTCTAGTGACTGACCTGCCACTGTGGAAACAAAGTTGGGTATAACCCTTTCACCCCAAGAACGTTCTACTGTCATTTTCTTTGGTCACACTGAATCCATAGTGAACTTGCCTGGGGCTGAAACCCATTGGCAAGACAATGTGTTTTGGATGAGATTAACATTTAAATGGGTGAATTTTGAGTAAATAGATTACCCTCTATATTGTGGGTGGGTCTCATTCAATCAGTTGAAGACCTGAATAGAGCAAAGACTGATTTCCCCAAGCAAGCAGGAATCAAGCCAGCAGACTGCCTTTACATTCCCTGGGTTTCCAGCCCGCCAGCCTACCCCACAGATTACGGATTTTGCACCTTTACAAATGTGTGAGCTAATTCCTTAAAATAAATCTCTCAATCTCTCTCTCTCTGTGTACACACACACAGGCATGCATCCTGTTGCGTCTGTTGTCTGCAGGACCGTAACTAATACAGGTGGGTAGTAGGGTGTCATCCAAGCAAGAGTTAGGACAGTGCAGCGGGATGGTAAACGGTGTGGGAATTCAGTGCATATTCCTGAGACAGAGGCAAAGACTTTGTGGCTGGATCAGATACAGAATTGAATGGGGAAGCAGTCATGGCTGATGCCAAGGTTTCCGGCTGAGCTACTGGAAGGTGTTGCCATCAGCTGAGAAGGCAGGACCGCAGAAGGAGCTGTGGGTGGGCACAGGGAGAGGAGAGGTCCAAGGACTCAGGCCTGGAGCACTTGGTTGTTTAAAGGTTGAAAGGTGAATGAGTGAAGGAGACTAAGAAGGAACAGTGAGGGGGTCAGAGGAAAACCCAGCGAGCGAGCCCAGTTCATGTGGACAGCTGTTTGCCCTGTATGTGCACTTAGTACTTGTGTGGGATTGTTTGATGTATTTTCCCCACAGAGAGCTGCCTAGGGTGTAGGTCATCACTGACTCTGCACCTCTAATACCTCCAACCTGACGTGTAGGAGGAATGCAGACATTTGTGGGTGAGTGAACTGCCCTGGTGGGTCCCTACTGTCTAATGCTCGTATATGACAGATGTTTATTGTAGAAGCGAGGAGAGTGGCTTCCTCATCCCCTCCCGCCTTGGTTGACTCATAAAATCTGTCTTGCTCCTCTCACCATCGCGGATTTCCCTGAAGGGTGTGTGTGTGTGTCCAGTCAGTCCAATAGCAATCTGAATATCCTGGCAACTGTACCATAATGTTTCCAGAACAAGAGCACATTTCACTGTTTATGCTGTCACCTTGGATTGAATGAACCACCATCATCTCTTCCCTGGATTACTGCAAAAGCCTTCCATTTTTCATCCCCTGGCTTCCCATCCTTGCCCACCAACGATTTACTCTAGCCCTAGAAGAGCGCCTGACATGAGCAGATGCGCAGTGAATAGCTGTTGAATGAACAAACACTTGAATGAGCCTTTGCGCCTGCAGTTCTTTGAGCATGTGGGGCTTTCTGTGGGGTAGGTGACTGGGGGCTTCTAGTGGGGCCTGCCGAGTGCACCTCCGCCTGGCACCTGGCTGACCTGCCGCCTGCTGCTGCTGCCCTCTGACCACACTGGCATTTCTGCTGTGTCTTGCAGACACCAACTCATGTCCAGCTTGGGGCTTCTGCATCTACTCTGTCTTCTGCCTGGGGTGCCTGCACCCCTCCCACACCTGCTGCTTCCCACGACAGGCCCCTACCATCCTGTTGCTCCTTCCTGTGTCTGCCCCTTAGAGGTCTCCTGTGACCTGCACGCCTACTGAAGCCTCCCAGCCTTCTCTGCCAGCCTTCTCACTCAGTCCCTCTAGTCCGTTCCAATCTTTTTTCCTCCTCAAAAGCACTTACCATGTGCCCCAAGTCTCATTTCTTTGTGATGTGTTTCTGGTCCCTCTACTGTCCCAAAGACCAGAATGATTGAGATTCTGGCTTGTGGAATTTGATGGATAGGTAGGGTTGTTATATATGGAGAAACACCAGTTGAAGTATTTGAAGCACTTGAAGCATTCTTGGTACTCAGCTCCCCTTTGACCCTCATTCATTTGCCAACTTTAGGTACTACTAGAAACAGCCCAATATATAAGTATGTAGTTATTTGTGTTGAAATTTATTTGATTTGTAGATTTTCCAGAAACAACTCTAGTTTTAAATTACATCCACCAGTACTCTCACAGGAAACATACTTCTCAGGATAGTACAAAAACCAGAGAGAGAGATAAGGACTTAGGGAAAACACAGTGAGTTGTGGTGTTCTCTTGGAGTCTGGCTGTAGAGTTGAGCTGCACTGTGGGCGACTGAAAGAGGAGAGGGCATGGGGTTTGTTTTCTTCCTGACTTGGGGAATTAAAACCTACAGCTTCTTCAGTCACTGTGAGTGTTTTAATAAGAGTTATTAAAAAAATTTATCTTCCTGACTGAACAGGGAGGGTGGCTCTCTTTTGAAAGTGCTGTGGGCTCAGTCATGTGACCTGGTCGGTGTCGATGTGAGATGCCCTGGAGGGAGAACGCTGCCGTGTGGGCCTCTTCCTGGTGTGTGTTTTCCGCTAGGCCTGGTGAGATCGCCAGTCCTAGTGCTGAGTTGCATAGACAGACTCCAAGTTCTATATAACACAAACATTTTGTTCTCACCATTAAGGCAGTAACATTAACTATCTCGCCCATAAATAGTATCCACTCTAAGGAATCTTAAGAATGACTGGAGAAGCATAGACTGTTAGGTCATGAAAACGGAACCAAAAGGAGACGCGCACGAGAGGTGTCTTTATTTCAGGTCCGTTAGGTCTGGGTTTTCCTTTGCCTTGTGAAGCCCTGGTCAGATTGGCACTGTTTATTCCATGGTTAAGATTTAAGACCAAGTTGAGGCCCCTTCAGAATGGTGTGGAGGTTGGCCGAGGGTGCAGAGAAAAGTGAGTCAGAAGATTTTTTTTGGAGTATATATGTAGTCCCAATTTTGAATTTTTTTTCTATTTAGATGAAAAAAAAAAAAAGCCCCCAGTAAACCTCCAGATATCCAGTTGTAGACAGTAGGTTTCTTGGGCATACCTTGAAGAATGATAAAGATTGTAGCTTTGTAAAAAACATAAATCTGACTAATGATTAATTTCCTACTTTAATGAAATTATGAAATATTGTTTTTTATATTGAATGTTTACTATTTTAAATGAACATAATATTGTTTTTAGGTTATACGCTAGCATGCTTATTTTTTGAGAGCAGCTACTAGTGTTAAAACAGTCCACTTTTTATTAATGTAATAGAGCTATATTTTTATGCTTTCTCTTAATGTTAGTTGAGATTAAAAATACTGTAATTAAAAACAAATCCAAGTGTTGGGATAAAGCGCTGCTGTGTTTCAAACTGTGTATTATTTCCCCTCACCCATGCCTTTCTCTTCCCTTGCTGAGAATGACTATTCTGGAGACGATTCAGTGTACACTGTAAAGATAAGGTTCATGTCAGACACTCATTTTATTCTATATAGCACTTCCTTTTAGAATAAAAGTCAAGGTTAACATCTACGTTTCACACAGAGTTTGTCAAATTTCATGCTAAATAAAGTGCCTTCATTACTGTGGGATGTGTTTGAGGTATAAGAAAGTACTTCAAACATTTTTTCAAAATATTTAGAAGACATTTTAGTTAAAAGCATACTGTTCAATGAAAATACTGCATTTTTAGAGTGGTTAAAATTTAAAGGATCACTTTAAAATGGTACATCTGGGGAAATTTAACTCTGCAACAAAGAGTAATGTGAAGTCATGTCACTTTTTCTAATTTTTAATATTAAGAATTCTGACACTAAGGTGGTCATAAAAACTCCTCTGGCTCTAAATAACTTAACTTGATGGGTAATAATATGGTAAGTTCCATATTCTGTGTGAGAATGTTGGGAACCTGTTCTTTGTGTTTCTGTCGACGTAGCTTGAAATGGTGGGGATCTCATCTTCGTCTAGATGCCTGGAGCGTCCTCCCGGGACCGCTGGGCGGATGGCACAGTCTGTACTCCGTGCCTCCGCCGGGCCCTCTTGGTGACTGCCTATGTCAGCACTATTTAGGAAATCCCTCAGAACTTGCTTGAAGATATAGACTATTTCCCAAGGCAGCACGTCGTTTTCTGCCAAAACTTCTCGAAATCTAGAGGGAAAGCAGTAATGGTTATTCAGGTTAGAAAATTTATTTTGTCATATCCCTCTATCTCCCAAAATTCTGCCTAAATAATGGGATCATATAGTAGTTACCCACCTTTGAGTAATCTGCACACTGGGTTAAAATTATGCTTCTAGTGAATAAGTTTGAATGTAGTTTAATAATATTTCTTAGCCAGGAAGAAGGCAGCAGTCTTTTTTGTCCAGCCTGCCGTAGGGGTTGTGGCTGCTGGTTATTTGATATGTGCAATTAAAGAATTTATGTGACAGAATACAGTTTCCTGTCTGCCTGTCTGAGCAACTTAGACTTGACAGTAGCAGATACCACGAAAGAAAACGTAGTGTTTTTACCTGCTGAGAATAGTTCCAGTTTGATAAGGTTGAACTTGTGAGCAAAGAATTTCAAGTTGTCTTTGTTCGGTAGCTGGGATGGTCATGTGGGGATTCTGGTAGTTTCTCAGCCAGTTGTAATCCACGCCTGTTTTTTTTGCTTTTTGTTCATTTTCGATCTCTTGTGTTAATCTTTCTCGCTCCTTCAGATGCCACCTGAGTTCCCGGAGCAGGGTGTTAGTCACCACATCTGAGCCCGGATACTGTGTGGGTTTGTAGGACCCATGTTTTGACCACTTCATCCAGCCAAAAAGTGGCATTTTTAGCCTATGGAAATATTCTCACTTGTTTATTTGTGTCAGATGTTCTGGTTCTGATAAACAAATATTTGTTTCTTTACAATAAATTTGCCAGGAAAGTATATGATTTTTTTCACCGGTTAGATATGAGTCATAAGATTAGAACATGGATTAAAGTCTCTTAATTTCTAACTAGGTCAGTGCCCAAAACCAGGCTTTGAAAATACTTTTCTGTAGCTAGGCAGAAATGAAATATGCAAAGTCAGATAATCTACAGACTGAACATTTTCTGAATATAGCACTAACACATGCTATTAAAAGTTCTTAGGAGGCTTTAAAATATTAACGTATAGGAGAGTGCGATCTGCATACACAATTTGGACTTAAATTTTGTACAGAAAAGGTTTAAAGCATACCTGTTAAGCTGATGGATCCGAGGTGCTGATGTTGCCAGTTTGTTAGGATGTGGGAGGAACTGGTGATGAAGCTGTGTTTTACTCGGGTATGTCTTGAGCTCCAGGGTATATCCCCTCGTGAAGGAATGAGTCTCCTTATTTACGCACTGGAGCTGTATTTGAAATTAATACCTTTCTGTTTTGGGAGTGAGGTGTGATGTCTTCATCTGGAGAGAATGCTCATTAATTCACCTTGTAAGTAAGCTTGAAGAAATGACAAAAATAACATACCATTTAATCTTCATAAATTACCTAATGGTCTACCTTTTGAATGTAGCTCATTCTATTTGAAAAAGATGCCGGCAGCTACGGGTTGTGGTCCCAATGCATTCAGATCATCTTTAGTGACGGACGAGCGGTCGGCTGAGGCCCAGTGCCAGTGCCCCTGCCGGAGCAGAGACTGTCGCCTGATGTGCGTCTGTGCTGTGCAGAGCCTCAGGTCACAGTTCAGTGCTGTATTTTTATGCCTGTAGAGAGCTCTAAAAATAACCATGTTGCTTTTATTCTTCACCTTAACTTTCAGGCCATTTAAAAGCCAGGTCACTCTCCCCTCTAATGAAAACAGGAAAAATAGATAAGACCTGACTATTTGCAAAATACACATTTTGGGAAAGTTGGTTATAATTGAGCAAAATAGGCAAAGAATACTGATGGCAGTCATGTGTGAAATATTTAATAAACGTTACATTCTGTACTCCTTTTTCTTCCTAAGTAGTTAAATGTGTATAATTAAGCAACTTGTAATCCTAGAGGACATAAACACTGAGGCAAATTTAAAATACATAATTTTGAAAACATGGCAATAGTAGATTAAGGTCAGGAAAAAACACATAACATACAAAGTTCAAAACAAAATCTTACAATTCATTATAGAAGATCTCAGTGTTTTCTTTTGGAGCTGAAAGTGAAACACACTGTACTGGTGTGTAAGGGTCTCTGTTGCGCTTACCTTCTGTTAGGTGTCCTGGGTCTTTTGCTCAGGAGTGGACAGGACTTGATTACTGTCTCCGTGCTAAGGAGCTACACTGTGGCTTTTCCTTCTGTTAACATTTGTGCTTCCATTGCCCTTTCCTCAAATGAACTGTGAAGGTAGGCATCCTTTCTGTCAGACCCACACGTCACGTGTGATGAAGAGTGATGTGTGTGGTCATCGTGCAGCTTCCAGTGTCTGTCAGGGAAAGCCGGGCGTCAGGGCTCATTCTCTGCACTAGCAGGTTTCACTTGACAGCACGCGTAGTGCCGTGAAAAGGAAGGGAGTGAAGCTTCTCTGGACAGAAACGTCCTGCCAGATCTTCTGAAGTTATGATGAGTCCCATGCTTTTTCTTTGAATGTCCTCCACATGATTACTTTAATTTTTTGCCTCTGAATGGTAACAGAAGTATTAGTGATATACTGGATGTGACCAGGAGCCAGACTTCTCCCTGGCAGGTGCCTCTCTCCTGCTCTGCCCGATTCGCCTTTTGTTTCAGCCAGGCGGTGCCTCTGACACTTGCCACGGTCCCTTTGACCTTCAGCTTTGGTCCCACTGACATTGTCTTCTGAGATGTTTATTCTTTCTCTTTCCATGTATCCACATTGTAATTCTTTTTTTGAGGCCCAGTTTAAATACCAGCTAATTTTTTTCTTCTGTCAGAGAGAAAATGTCAACATTTTTTCCTTGGCCCCACTGTTCCTTTGAACTCTGCTTTTATTTCTCTTGACTGTTACTCTTACAGAAAGATTGTTCTCTGATCTTATTCACTCTCCTCCCTGTTTTCTAGTCCTGGCTGATGAGATGCTGCCCTGTCCTCCACTGTAATTCCTGGCTTTCAGTCAGTCACTCAGCAGGTATTTATTGCCTGTGTGCAGCTTGGACGCGTGTAGGGACTTGGGATGCCATGAACAAGACAGGCCCTGTCTCTGCCCTCGTGGAGCCTGCCTTCTAGTGGAAAGACGGTCACCCAGTGAGGCAATCATAGATCACCATGGGGTGTTGAATACACCCTGCCACCCCCAGTTAGATGTGGAGATCAGGGAAGGCCTTTCAGGGTCGGGTGTCCTGGTAGGGGACAAATAAAGGCCAAAGAGCCACCACATGCATGGCTTGAAGGCCACCGATCTTGCCATCGTGATGTTCAAGTCTGATGGGCACAGAGCCTTATTCACCACCTGCACTCACATCCTGTGCACCTTCCTTTGATCTTGGGTAAACCAGTTTTTCTAGTACTTAGTGTGAGTTCTAAAAAATTTTGGTTTTTTTTCTGCCTTATTTCCTTAGATGGTTTGATTAAAGCAGAGCCCAAATATCATTCCCTGCTTGTAGAGGTTGCCCTGCCACCATATAGATAGGGAGTATAAATATTTGTAGAACAAGGTAAGGTGAGCTCTTTGCTGTGAGCCTTCCTGTTTTCAGAGTATAATCAGATTAACTTGGATTTTATTTACCAAACATTTTATGAGGTTGAATAAATGAATTGTTTCTAATGAATGCAGCCTCATTAGGATATTTTGTGTGGAAGACATAAACTATGAAATAATTAGGTCAGTTTCTTTTTCGCCACTGTCAGGGTTTTGTAGGCTGTTATCTGAGTAATATAAAATTTTATAAGTCAGAGTAAAATAGGATCATATCATTCATTGTGTGTGTGTGTGTGTGTAACATTCTAAGATGTGTGAGGAAGTATATAAGAAGATAAATATGGAAAAACAAAATTTTGGAATGTTGAAGGCCGACCAAGGAGCCAGGCATGACTTATAAATTTATAATCAACACCTTGTTATATAGTATGCAACAGCATTTGGTTGCACTTAAAGGAAGATTTTTCATTGTTAAGGAGACTAATACCCTTTTGTCTTTAACTCCTTTGCTGCTGAATTAAAAGTTCTAGGATACTGTTTTTTTTTTAAAAAAGTTTTTAAAAATGCAGTTCATTTTTTTATTAAGGTATCATTGATATACATTCTTATGAAGGTTTCACATGAAAAACATTGTGGTCACTACATTCACCCATATTATCAAGTCTCCCCCACACCCCATTGCAGTCACGGTCCATCAGTGTAATAAGATGCCACAGAGTCACTACTTGTCTTCTCTGTACTACACTGTCTTCCCTGTGACCCTCCCCACCCGCACATGTGTACCAATCATAATAGCCCTCAATCCCCTTCTCCCTCCCTCCCACCTGCCTGCTCCCACCCCTCCCCTTCGGTAACCTTCTTGGAGTCAGTAAGTCTGCTGCTGTTTTGTTCCTTCAGTTTACTTTGCCGTTAATACTCCACATATGAGTGAAATCATTTGGTATTTGTCTTTCTCCGCCTGGCTTATTTCACTGAGCATAATACCCTCTACCTCCATCCATGTTGCAAATGGTAGGATTTGTTTTTTTCTTATGGCTGAATAATATTCCATTGTGTATATGCACTACATCTTCTTTAGCCATTCATCTACTGATGGACACTTAGGTTGCTTCCATACCATGGCTATTGTAAATAGTGCTGCAATAAACATAGGGATGCATATGTCTTTTTGAATCTGAGAACTTGTTTCCTTTGGATAAATTCCTAGGAGTGGGATTCCTGGGTCAAATTGTATTTCTATTTTTAGTTTTTTGAGGAACCTCCATATTGCTTTGCACAATGGTTGAACTAATTTACATTCCCACCAGCAGTGTAAGAGAGTTCCCCTTTGTCCACATCCTCGCCAGCATAAAAATGCAGTTCATATTTGAGGAGAAACTATGATCAATATCTTTTATCAATATTACTTCCTCTTTAACATATTTTAATTAAAATACACTAATACATGTGCTTTTGGAGTTAAAGGCCCTTTTCTGTTGGGTGTTTGTATCTCAGTGGCTGACAGGCGTTCCTACTGTGTGCCTGTGTCAAGGTCTCCAGATCTTTCTAATGACTGCTGCTCCCCCTTAGAGATGTTCATAAATTTAAAATCATGATTTAGTTTATTGATATTTTCCTTTTTGACTTCCTTTTTTGTGCTCTTGTTTGAGAAGGCCTTCTCTACTCCGAAGTTAAAAAATGCAGAATAATAATTAGCTTTATAGGCTTAAAAAAATAAGTGCCTGGGTGTTGAGCTGGTTTGGAATTGATAGTGATCGGTGGGAGGTGTAAGGGTGGACCTTTTTTGTCCTCAAATCAGAGAGCCAGCATCCGAAGTAAGTGGTCCCTGCTCCACTCAAGAGCTGTTCCTTGTTCTTCAAGTACGTAGAGTGATTGTGGTGTGTATCCTGGCATCGTGAATATTATATTATATGACTCTGGTCTTGTGTAAGTCATATGGGGAATGCAACTGACCAGCTGTGTCTGAAAGTTGCAACTGGCCTCTGGAGGGCTGTGGTGTCAGGTCCTTGGGGTGTTCAGAGCCCCTCCCTGCTTGCTGTCTGGATCTGGCCTACGCTGCGCCACCTAGTGGCCATTCTGCAGCTTGGTCTCCCGGTCTGTGACGGGCAGTTTGGGGTCAGCGCGTGCATGTGCGGCCGGGAGTGGGCTTTAGCCGTGTGTTTATTTCCCAGGGGGCTTCCCCGTCCCTGGGGCTCTGCAGTTTGATCTTCTGGCCAGAGGCTGGGGCTTTACTGCCCCACTCCGGCATGCGCCTCCTGCAGCTGCATCTGTCTGCACCCCCATCCTGGTCAGGCAGTGGGAGGCTGGAGAAGGCAAAGGGCAGCCCTTTTGAGTTTGAGACTCCTGTTCACCCCTGGAATGTGAGAGGATGGAGAAAACAGAAATGACACATTTTGAGCACTTGGGGTCCCCTTCCCTGCTCCCCAAGGCACAACCAGAGCTGCTCCTGGGGTGCCTACAGGTCACATGATGGTGAGTTAGGGCTAGAGGACGGTAACTGGGGACTCTGAGTTCTGGTCTTGTCCCCACTCTGGGGGTACTTCCCCTTCCAACTCCTTGGCTAGCTGCTCAGACGCTCTGTCCAGAGTCCACGGCTTCATTCTGGAAGAGACACAGGTGTGGGGTGCTTGCTTAATCTGACCAGGAACTGGGACCTTGGCATCATTCTTGACTCCTTTTTTGTTTTCTTGTGCCCCAGACCTAACATGCCAGCGCATTCTCAGGGCTCTGCCTTCACTGTGGCTGCTCTGCCCTTGCCACTGCGTCCTCACCTGGGTGGTTGTGGCCTCCTGTTAGGTGACCTTGCTGCTTCCATGTCTGTGCCCCCATCGCCCACCCTCGTCACCTGGTCACAGCCATCCTGTGGAAGTGGAAGTCAGATACTGTTATTTCTGTCTGCTCAAAGCTCATCTCAGAGCAGAAGCTAGCGTTGTCCTAAATACTCCCTGCCAGTCCTCCAGCACCCTGCCCCGCTCTTCCCGGTACGTCCATCCTCTGCCGGGCTCCTGCCATCCTAGGCCCTTGGCCAAGGGGCTCACCTGCATAGCTGCATGGCCCTGCCCCCCATCCCTTGCCCCTGCTTTCTTCTTGGCTTGAATGTCACCTTGTCATCCTGCTAACATAGCAGCCGTCCTGGCCCCTTCTCCCCTCTCCTGGCTCTATTTTTCTCTGCGTACTTACGCTGTCTAACATACTCCATGACTTATTTTATTTCTCTCCCACCATCGAGACTGTCAACTCCATACAGTCTGCTAATCGTCGTGTCCCAAGAGCTTTGACAGTGCCTGGCATGCAGTCAGCCCCTAATTATTCATTTGAGTGAATTAATGAGTAAATATCAGACAAACAGTAACCAAAAGAATGGTGATATTAAATATTAATATCAGACAAAACTAGACGTTAATGCAAATAGCATTTTATTAAACCTCAAATTTCAAGAATCAGTATCATACAGCCTTTTCTCTGACAGCATTTAAATTGGTGCCTTTAAATTAGACTGATAAAAGAAACAATTATAGTAGAGTGTTTTGTAGCCTGTCTATATTTGTCTTTTCTTACTTAATGTCTTGGACATTTTTATCTGTCAGTATGAATATAACGAGGTATTCTTTAAACTGATACATCTGACGTAAGAGAATGCCCTGTCCCTCTTGTGACACAGTTTTTTCTGGTTTTAACTGTTACAAATACTATATGAAAGGTACTCTGCCTCCCTGGAATCCTTTGTGCCCTTATCTTTTTGAATTTTCCCTTCGTATAACTAAGAAGCATCTATGCCCTATTATGTCTCCTTGAGGGCAGGGCTCTGTTTTGTTTGCTGCTGTGTGTCTGGTGCCCCAGATGGTGCTCGTGGGTGCTAGGTGTGCAGTAAGTCCTTGCTGAACACATGCACTCTGTGCCTGTCTGCACGCGCTTCCTTGTCTACAGGTGCAGACACTGCTGGGAGATGGCACTGGGGGGAAGGTGCCGGGCCTGCAGGAGTGTACTGGTCAGGTTTTATAGGTGCTGGCTGATTGCCCCTCGGGATAAATGGCCACACCCAGACCACCCACCCTGTAGCTAACAATATTCTGCTGCTGTCAGTTTGAAAGATGACTGCAGTGGATTCTCACGGTTTTGCTCTGCATTGGCCTGCTAGCTAGGAATTTGCATGTAGTTTCTTCTGTGTATTGACTGTGCTTTCTCCTCTGTGAATTAATGTAAGGTAACTATTCAAGAATTCCTTTAGTGCATGGGGTTTCTTGGCTTTTCAGAAACAGTGTACCAGCTTTTAATGTTCTTTGCAGGCCACCTAGCCAAGAGAGCTCTGAAATGGAGTATATCGACAAATACAGAAAGCTTGAGGCAGAAGAACTTGACATGTATGGCAGTGATGAGTCAACCAGGGGGCCGGGTAAGTAGGTATCTTTAAACATTGTAAAATATCACAGAATACTAACTCCTGAACTGTCTTTAAGAATCACAGTGTTTTGGTAAGTGAAGAGCCTGTACTGCGTGTTGACTTGGGATTTTTTGGGGGGGTGAGTATATGATAGGCTGTAAATTGCTCATTTTTCTCTGAAACGCAGTCCCTGAAGAGTCTGTTCTTTGCCTCACTATTAATTAGAACTGCTTAACAGTTTTATTTTAGAAATTGTTGTTTTTACAATAAACACAGTAAAACAAAATGTTAAACAATGCACAAATGTATAACTGAGAAGATAAAATGTTCTCCTTACCCCTCCTCCAAAGGTATACTGTTGAGCCGGCTCAAGTGAGTCACTTTCTGTGAGTGTGCAGTTTCTTTTTCTGAGCTCGTCACCTTATCAGCGTCAGGGCCTATTCATGATAGAGATCGACTTGGCTTTTTCGCTGTAGAAGACATTATCCATCACAGACTTCCACCCAGTTCTGCCGGGACGTTCGGCCTCCCAGGCTTCTCCTCTGTGTGTGTGTGTGTGCTCAGAGTTAGGCACGAAAGTTGGGGTTAGAATAGTATTTTCTTTTTCTTTTTTAGCCTTTTTAAAAATTATGAAATGCAGCCCATATGTAACAGCACATTGATTTGTATTCTTTGTGGGATTTACCTGGGCTTCTTGATGATAGAGAATATTGGATTCTTTCATGAGTTCTAGAAAATTCTGACCCATTATCTGCCCACTCTGTCATTTAGTTCTGTTGTCCTCGTTTTTTTGCCACTGTGCTGTATTTGGATTGATCTTCCACTGTCTTTCACCTTCACACAAACATGCTTTTAGCTCTTTGCCGTCCCCCCCCCCCGTGTCCCTGCCTTCTCCCAGACTCGGCGGGGCCTTTCCTCACAGGGTCCCCGGCCCTCAGCCCCTTTCAGGCGATGCTTGTGTATTTTGCCCGGCATCTTTAGCTGCCTCCAGGAGGAATGTTTGTCTGGACAGCCCCATTAGTGCCACAGTGATGGCTCAAAATGCGTGTGCCCTTTGACCCAGTTTTTATTGATGTTGAGGAAAGTACAAAGTTGTATGTGAAAGAAAGCTGATTGCATCGTTGCTTATCTGTGGAAGGCTGAGAAGTCTCTGAATGTCAGTGAACAGAGCGTTCGTGAAATGGAGAGTTCGTGTAGTGGAGTATCGTGCAGTTTCCCTGGAATCATGAAATAGGCATGTGTGCTGTTGTGGGAAGACAGCCACCATGTGCTGCATCCACTAGGGAAGTGTGTTAGCTTTCATATGTCTCAAGGGTGCGATCCTTCTCATGGTACCCATACATATGGGCCCTGGGCACACGCATATACATGCCCCCTGCTGGCTCCAGAGCGTGCCATCTGGGTTGCTGCTGTTTAGAATGCCTGCACTTGGAAGTGTCTGCTCTCATGACTTGATTTGTATTCCTGTTTGAGACTGCTACTTGCTTTCTCTGTCCATGGTATCTCAGCACATCTGGAGCTTTATACTAGGCAGCCACACACATTATGGCTGGGGTTGCACTCAGAGGATCCATCCAGTGACCAGGGTTTATCAAGGTGTGTGCTGGGAACTGTATGGGGCAGTGGGAATGTGTTAAGGAAAAAGACATGGTCCCTGCTTTTACAGAGATTGTTCACTATGTAGTTGCACAGATAAATACTTTTGGAGGTATAAGTGCTCTGGAAGACAGCTCCATGGGGGTCTTAGACAAGGGTTTCTGACTTGAGCTGGGGTATCAGGAAAGCAACAGGTGAGCTTGGAGCTGAAGGTTGAGTAGAAGTTACCTGGGTGGCATGGGGGTCAGGTGGAGGGGGCGTGTACAGGTAGCCTGTAACAGGAGAGGCTGTGCTCTAGCCCCAAAGGAGGCACAGTTGCTGGGAGTCTGGGTGGGGGAGGGTGGGCTGGCAGAGTCACAGCCCCCAGACAAGTCCACATTCTAGTTCCCTGATCCTGTGACTGTTATTTTATTAGTAAAAGCAACTTTGAGCTGGAGTAAGTTCAAGCACTTGCAAGGGGCAATAGTCTGCGGCCCAGTGTAATCACAGGGCTCTTACAGGGGGTCGGAAGCAGGAGAGGATGTGATAGCAGAGGCTGTAGGTTGGAGAGGTGTGAGATAGGGGCCAGGGAATGCAGGTAGCTTCTAGAAACTGGAAAGGTACAGGGACAGGGTCTTCCCCAAAGAGTTGCAGAAGGGGCCCCTGCCCATGCCTCCATCTCAGCTGGCGAGACTGATTTTGGACTTCTGACCTCGGATCTGTAAGATGTTGTGCCGATCAAAGCCACTCAGTTTGTGGCAGTTTGCTGCAGGAGAAACAGAAAACTGACAGCACTGTACGGGACGAGGCTGGCTGAGTGGGCCTGGCGGTGCTGGTCGCCTGCTATAGTCAGGCCGCAGCCAAGGGTGAGGTCTTACTGTTCAGAGCAGTGGGAAGCTGTGGGGACTCTCAGTTTGTCTTGGGTTGACTGTGAAGGGAGGAGGAGACCTCACAGGATTGAATGTATGCTGAGGAGACCACTCTGCCCGTCCTGGAGGGGCTGGACCAGGGTGGCCATGTGGACCTGAGCAGAGCTGAGCAGAGTCACCCTGGTTGGTGGGGACAGCAGTGGAGTTTGGGCCGATGTGGGGAGACCAGTGGAACTTGGCAATATGCTGGGCACAGTGGCAGTGGGAGGGGGACAGGGAAGCGGGAAGGGCCCTTGGAGCATTGAAGAGGATCTGAGTGCATGCATCCAGCCACTTCTCTTCCTGTGTGGGTCCATTTATTTTAAAACTGTGAAATCATGCCGATATACCTCTCATTCCAGTCCAGTACCAAAGGTTTTAACATGACTTTTTTAAAGATATACTGTATCCAGCTATAAAATTCTTTGATTCAAAATATTTTAATTTTGGTATAATACAGGTGTTATTCCTCTGTATAAATGTTTTAAAAAATTATTTCTAAGTAGAAGAAATCCAGGAACACATTCTGTGAATTTCTATAGATTACGTTAGACTTATTTTGTTTAGTTAAAAGTAAATCATTTCTTTTTAAAGAGTTGAGATGTAATAGCATTTCTGAACAGCTTGAGCCTGGTTCCAAACTGGGGACTCCTGTGGCACCCTGCTGCTTTCACAGGACAGTTTTGAATTTGCCCTGGCAGGGTGTCTAGGTTGTGCATGAATGCCACAGTGCTACCTCCCTTTTAGCTTGGTGGTATTTTCAGCAGTTATTTTCATCCCCCTCATGGCTTTTCTTCTGATTTAAGAGAATGGCCTATGTGGGTGTGTAATCGGAAAGAAGCTTTCAAGTTGTTTAGTTTTGTATTTGGAATACTTTCCTATACTTGGAGAAAATGATATACACTTACTCATTTTGAAGATTTAATTTTATGGTGAAGTCAATAATGTAGTAATTAAATTTATTTTCTACAGTGTACAGTGTCTAGATTTTAAGGTAAGGAATGTTACATTCTCCAGTTAAGAACTGTATGTATATACTGCTTGCAACCTCTAACTGCTGGATTTTTTTTTTTTTGGTTAGATTTACTGTTTGGTTGATAAGATAAGATATAGTGGGGTGGCTTAGTGAAGAGAAACTAGCAATTTTTATGGTTTCCATTTTTTTCCAGTTCATGTAAAATAAAAATAGCCAAGTGTGAGCCTGAGGCATCTCTCCTGCCGCTTTGGGCTGCACTTTGCCAAGTGTAGTTTGTCAGTTTGCCTTGTTACCCGTTCTCTTGTCTCTGAGACCTTAACCGTGGGGCTTTTCATGGCCACCTGCCTTTAATCCTGCTGCTGATGCGCAGATGGAAGAGCTGTGCACCCCTCTGGCGGCAGGCATGGAGGCAGGCCTCGATTTGTGCTGGGTATGCTTCAGTGGTGGCCTGAAAACGTCAGACTGTGTTTGTGTCACATGGAGGAAGGGCTGTGGTTTAGACAGGACAGTCAGGGTTTTTGAAATTCTTGCTTTAGAAGATTTGTGCCATTCAATCATAGCCTTCAAAGTACATGTGGTTAAGAAATGTCAGTCATGTGGCATTGTCCACGTGAGGGCTGTGTGACAGCCCCCTGAGGCCTGGTTGCAGGTCCCCAGCCCCAGTGCTGTGCTGCCCTTTGCTTTGAAGGAGGCCTCTCACGTCCACTCTGTTCCCTGCTTATCCCTGCACCTCCCAGTGGTGTCCGGGCTCAAGACCCCCTCTCTGTCTTCACTCCCTGGGCTGTGAGAATTCTTGTCCCTTTCATCTGTTATGTTAAAAAGGGCCTGTTACTGAGATCGGCCTACCAGCATCAGGAATAGGAAGGTCCCTGTTTATGTCTGTTATCTCTCTGGGTATCTGGCCACCAGTCAGAGTGCCACATAATGTAGTGGAATGTTGGAACCATTTCTGAGCTAGGAATTGTTTGCACATTGAGTGTTGCTCAAACCCAGTGTCTTGAAGGTAGTGGGGTTAATTCTGAGGACTCTGGTCACGGGGCTTCTGGAAGGGGTGAGGCTGGATTGGTGCACTGTCGGGAGATGGGTGGCATCAGCCACTGTCCTAAAGCTGAGAGGAGTGCGGGGCGGGTGCGGCGTGGTGGTGGGAGGAGGCGGCGTGGTTGGCACGTGTGGCGTGGTGGTGAGTGGACAGGTGACGCTCAGGCAGTGTGCTGAGGGCTCACCAGCCGGAACCCCTTGCCTGGGAAGAGCTCTTCCCCCAGGGAGGCTGGTTTTGCTTTGAGACATTGTAACCGTCTGGCTCCTGTGTTTTTAAATTTCAGAGCAAGTACTATACCCCTTGATTCAGATGATAGGAAAATATAGCCATATTTTAATGATGTATTATTAGATAGGTCATGAAACTGAGAATGTATAGGGAGAGGACGGAGGAGAGAAAAAGGAACAGTTGTGTGCGTGTGTGCCCGGCAGGCAGGGAGAGGAAGGAGGCCCTGGGGCAGAGAGAGAGGGCTGGGAGGGAAGTGGAGGGGCAGGTGGGGTCAGTGCTGGGGCGGGGAGCGAGCTTGCTGCTAGGTCTGGGAGGGGCAGGGAGCCTCACAGCCTAGTTATTTTGGAAGTAAAAATTATTTCCCAGTAGAAGCTTGTATCCCATGAATTTTGGTGATTCGTCAGTCTGTCAAATGATGATCAGAGGCCCAGGCCTGGTAGCGGCCAGAAAGAAGCATTACGTGTGTGGCTGGAGGGCGTGGAGTGGGTAAGGCTGGCCCGAGGCAGCCTGCTGCAGCTTTACCAGGGCAGAGCTGCCCCCGGCTGGGATACCCGTAATCCACATGCCCATCTATTTTAGTAGCAAGGAACAGACACTGAGCAGATCTGCATGTTCTACTGAAATGTCAAATGAAAGCTTATTTTTGAAGCTGAGCGTTATAGTGCCGTTTTCAAGCAGTGAGTAATATGCTCTCCAGGCCTTTTATCTGGAAGGAAGTGCTAAGCCTACAGGTGCTCAGCTTGTGTAAGTTGTTGCTAGTGGTCCCGCGGGGTGTATCACCCTGCCCGCAGTGTCAGCTGTGGGATGTGTGTGTGCGTGTGCACGCGGATGGCTTTATTTTGTTTGTATAGATTACGCCCAGGATTGTTCACCTTGCTTTTTCTCAGATAAGAAGTAGGACTGTATTTGTTTTATCTGATCCAGGTCCAAGGCTGCCTTTGGCTAAATCAAGCAACGTGACATGCATCCCAGAGCCAACTTACAGATATCCTGATTTGCCTATAAATCGATGTAAGGAAGAGGTAAAATTTATTTTGTCTTACTATAATTTTGCTGTTTGAATAAACGCCCAAGGCCCAGCATGCCTAGTTTATGGTGTGAAGGCAGTGAAAGCAGGAGTGGGGGCAGCAGGAGCCGGGTGTGCTGGGCTGGGGGCCGCTGTAACCCGTCCAGCCTCCCCTCGGCCGTCTGTTGACTGTGTCTGTCCGCCAGCCGCCCCTCCTCGGAAGGAGCTGCCTGACAGGCGAGCCAGGCGCGCCTCTGCTCCGCAGGAACTCGCAGCCAGGTCGGCGTGTGCAGCGCGTGGCGCCCTCTGGCGGCGGTGCTCAGCATCCCTTTGGGGTTTCGTCACATGGGCTGCCTTTTCTGCCTATTGAACGGTTGTCAATTGATACATCATTTTATTAATAATGCTGAGCCAGACACGATAGCAGGATGAGTACATGGTTAAAAATAAGTGTATTGAAGTTTTTATAAACTGTACTGGTGGAAGGACCAGGAGCGCAATAAAACTGTAAATGTTGCAAATTTAATTTTTATTTTGCTTTAGGTTGAGTCACACAACTTTTGTAGGGTAGATATACTTTATTAATTTTAAGAAGCCAATAGTCAAATTAATCTGTACTCCCTGACCACAGCAATTGCTAGAGAGATAAGAGTTTAAATTTAAGGTGGAGGTGGGAGAGTGAAAGGGAGGGATTGGGTTGCAGTTTTAAAAATGCCCCACAGTCTGGAGGTGGACCAGTGGAAGGTGCTTGTTTAAAAATGTGTCTGAAGAATTTCAAATGAAAATTGTAAACCATCTGAGTGTAATAACAGCTCTTTTCATATTCTCTAAATTACATGGAGGTTCATTACACAGTCTTAATAGAAATTTGCACTTAGCAAGAGCTAAAGAAATCCACTTCGGTCTTTCCATTTTTGTAGGCGAAATGGAGACCCAAGGATCTGAAGTTGAGCCGGCCTGCCCTTCTGTGGCTGCTGGCAGTTAGCTGTTGGTGGCGGGCTTGGTTCTCTACGCAGCAGCCACGTGTAACGTCCCGGCTGTCTTCTGTACTGTTTGGGCAGTTAGGTAATAATTAGACTTCTAAAGATGAAAGGGAACTAAGTCCTGGAAGTCATCACAAGATAAAAGTTTTGGTTCACAGGTGTTACTTTACCTGGTTGTTAATTTTGTGGCAATTTTGAAATGTTTTTTAAATCCTAGGTCATTTCTTTGATAGAGAGTAATTCTGTGGTGATCATACACGGTGCCACGGGCAGTGGCAAAAGCACTCAGCTCCCACAGTACCTGCTGGATCACTGCATGCAGCGCTCTGCCCACTGCAACATCGTGGTCACCCAGCCGCGGAAGATTGGGGCCAGCAGCATCGCCCGGTGGATCAGTAAAGAGCGCTCCTGGACTTTGGGTGGTTTGGTGGGCTACCAGGTGAGACTGGGAGAGCGCCATCTCCCAGCTGGACACTTTTCATTCTCTACGTTGATGATAGGATGTGATTTTTTTCTTCTGGAAGTTAAAATGAAACCAGTAGCTTATAGAGAAGAACTATTGCATAATTTTAAAAAGAATGAAACTCTAAATTTCTTAAAAATAGCTTTTTCTTTCTCAGTTGAACAGGAAAGAAGTGAGAATTCTGAGTCATGACTTACATATTTTATCTTGTATGTAGATGTCTTCCTACACAGTTGTCTTAACTTAAAAATGATCTCGGCAGTGTGACTCGATAAGCCAATTCCCCTCTCCCATCCCCTCAAAAAAGGAGAAGAAAATCAACTTTAGAATGTCACTTGTAATTTGGACTCTGTTTATTTTGTGATATACAATCGTTTTTTTTATTCCCTTTCTTTCCTCCATTATAGAATGGAATAGAAGTGAACCATTTAAACCTGAAAAATTTCTCCTTTTTCTTTCCTTTCCCCACTTTTAGGTAGGGTTAGAAAAGATAGCGACAGAAGACACCAAGTTAATTTATATGACCACTGGAGTCCTGCTTCAGAAAATAGTTAGTGCCAAGAGTTTGATGGAATTCACACACATCTTCATCGATGAAGTAAGTGCTGACTTCATGTAGCTCCGCCCTTACGTTCCTGTTCTTGCGTAGCGACAGCACAGTGCGAGTCACTGTGGATGCCCTCTTGTCGTGTGCCTTGCACACTTTGGGTCTTTGTCTGCTCGTTCTTCTTTTGAATGTTGACTTTCTGTTTTATTCTTTACTCTTAGTTCCAAAACGTGGGTGGGGAGGTTGAGGACTATGAAAAGATTCCTTGTTCAGGTCGAGGGATGGCAGACTGCAGCTCTCAGGCCAATTTTGGTACCTGTTTTTGTAAATAAAGTTTTATTGGAACACAGTTTTGCTCATTTGTGTACGGTTGCTGCCCCCCCACAAGGAGAGATGAGTGGTCGGGGCAGAGACAGTACATCGGGCAGAGCTGGGAACACTCGCTGTCTGGCCTCTTACAGGAAAAGTCTGCTGACCCCTGGTGTAAAGTGTGAGTCACATCAGACAGTTAAGAAAACTTTAATCATGTGGAGGTATTTTGAGCATGTTACAGATACTTTCCATCTAGTAAAACAAGGACAGTAATATTTTTAAAGAAAATCAGTACATGTGCAGGATGAGGGTTCTCCCCTATTGCTGTGTGTGTGGTGTTGGTAACACTGCATGTGGTCAAGTGAAGCTGAGCAAGTGCATTACTAGCTTGTGTACGTTTACTTGGTTTTAAATCACTGTGGGGTGTTTGGGGGGTAAAAGGTGGAAAAGAATCTATTCTTTGCAAAGTAGCACGATGCACAGTATGGTTCAGAATTTTTTCATGACTTTTAGCCATTTTGAGTGTCTTTAGGTGGAGATGAGATTCAGATTTAACAGGCAGTTTGCACAAAGGGGTGTGAACAGAGTTCACAGTCTCACCATTTAGGGGCCTTTTACTGGGAGCTCACCCCAGGCATCAGCTCCAGAGCCAATTCCCGAGGCCTCTACTCGTTTGCTGTGTATCAGTATCTCTCTGCCTATCTGGTGGGCTTCCTTGCACACACATCCATGAGGACATGCCGTCCACACTTGTTACCGACTGCATCCTCTCCTGAAGGTGTGCCCTAGTAGTTGAACAGAAGTTGACCTCTCTGCAGGAGCTTGCCCTGTAGGGGCCAGTACCGACAGTGATCTTGTCACTGTTAAAGCAGCTTCCTGCTGCTGGTTGTCCGTAGTGCCCCCTGTACCTGATAGGCGCTCTAATAATTGTTTGCTTAAGGAATCAATGGGTTGGATATACCTGAAATTTTAGATTTATAAACAATAGTGTTCCTATTGTGTGGGATGATCTGAATTTCAAAAGAAATCTGAGAGCATGAAGTTGAAGATGGTCATGCAGTGGAAAAGAGAATGAAAATGTGTTCTCAGCTCTTGAAAAAGAGTAGACTAGCTCAGGGAAGTCATTCATTCCATAAATGGTTTTCAAGTCCTGGCTCGTTGGTGCTGAGATTGTAAGGGCAGATGAATCCTAATTTCTGCTCTCAGCCACTCTCTTGGGGAAGACGCTACCTGCTAAGGCACAAGTGTTTCTGTGTGGGGAGAGGCCAGTGGCAGGGTGAGGGCTGTGGGTATCCAGAGAGACCAGGTGGAGTGGGAGGCCGGCTGTCCGAGAGCCTGGAGAAGCTGGGGGTGGCCACTAGCAGAGGTCCCTTTAGGCCTCTCTGCTGAAAAGCACCTCTGTCTTTCCTTCTTGAGTAAGAGGCAGGGTGTGTGTGTTGAGGAAATATTCTGGGGTCTGGTAATAGAATGAAGTAAGAATTAGATTCATAATGGCGTCTGCCAGGATTTCCAGCCATCATGCACATGAGATACTTGGGTGTGTAGTTTTCTCTTCCCTGTACATCGCCTGCGCTCTGCTTCTGAGGAGCTGAGGAGGGTCCTGGGACCTGGAGTGCAGCTGACTGCAGAGGAACGGCCAGGCCCGTCACAGGAGAAGAACTCTCCCTCCTTCAGACCTTGCACCAGTGTCTCCGCTTTGGCAGAGAAATGTCCCAGGGTAGAACCTTACTGTCCCCTTGTGCATGGAGCTCCTAAGTGACAGGGTAACTGGATTCTTTTAGAGGAAGAGCTACCTGTGGCCTGGCCCTTAGCTGTCCTCTGGTTCTGGGGTGGGGCAGGGCAGGGAGGCTGGGGTGGCCGAGACCTTTGGTTGGCTCTCCCTGGGGGTCTCTGAAGCACCTGCTTTCCCCAGCAGTAGAGCCCCCCATTAAGCCACCACCGTGAATCCTGCCACACTACTCTCCCTCATGGCCTCAGCTCCTAACTTGGTGCTGGTGTATCTGCTCGTAACGAGCCAGCTTTTCCAGGGCCTTCCCTTGCCCACCCTTGGAACTGCAGCCCTGCCTATTAGGGCATGTGTCCGTCAGGCAGGACACACTGCCACGGGCCCCACCTTGGCCCTGTACTTGCCAAACTGACAGTATAACTTGAGATGCGTGAGGGCCATGCAGGAGGTGGGTGCCTGGCTTCTGTGCTGGGGTTGGTGGCTGGTTTTGGTTGCCTTGTTGACCCAGAGGGCGCTGTTGGCCCTGAGTGGGCAGGCCAGGGATGCGAAGCATGCCTCTGCCCAGGTGCCAGTAGGGTCCCAGAGAGAAGCTCTGAGGGGACAGTGGCCCACGTGGCCTTGGCTCTCTGGTTCGTGGGCCACGTTCTTTGCTTCCTTCTAGCCGTAGCCGTAGCCATCCTGGGAGTGGCCTCAAGCAGACAGCTACCTCAGCCCGACTCCGGGGTGTGCCACCATCTGTTCTGTTCCCTCTGTCCCTGCAGCTGCTTGGTGCCATGTGGGGTGCCTGTTTGTTTTGTAGGTGCATGAGCGAACTGAAGAAATGGATTTCCTGCTGCTGGTTGTCCGCAGACTTCTAAGAACAAATTCACGATTTGTGAAGGTAAGTTTGATTTCATGAGTACAGGGTTATGATTTAAGATTTTGTTTTGTTTCTCTTTAACAGAAACAATTGAAGGCCGTGACCCGTAAACTTCACTGTCACCTGTAGTACTCCATATCTGTCAGTTAGCTGGCTAAAGGGCATCCTCTTAGGGTCAGAGTATGGAATACTTCTAGGTTATTATGCATTAAGTTGTAAAATTTCCTCTAGGCTGCAGAAGATGATGTAATGATAGCTGACTCTAACGAGATGCTCGGTATTTGCACATCGCTCTTGGCTGCAACACGCACCACAGAGTAAGGGCACGTGGGTGCACCGGCAGTCTCTGTTTCAAGAGCTCCAAAGCCGGAGAGTGGCCCTGCACACGTGTAGGGACTCAGGTCACCAGCTGACGGAGTCCGGGGCAATGGTCGGCACTGTTTACATCTTACTTGAACAAAAAGGAAGAAGGCATGAATGAGGCCAAAATAGCAAAGGGTTTATGATAGCTGTGCAGTCTGCCCGTGGCCAGCCCAGCTGTGCCACTAAGCTGGGGTCTCTCAGAAACAGCGCTGTAAAGGCTCCTGTGGTGGAGCTGGCACGCTGTCACAGGCACAGAGCTGTGGGAGACAGTTGCTGTTGAAACACCAAGTATTTTGTCTCCATGTGTGTCATCTCCCCGCCCTCTGGGTGGGGGTGTTAGTTCTGCCTGGCGGGCCTGCCCCCCACCAAGCAAGCCTGCCTGTCGCCATTGCTGTCTCATGCCTTGAGATGATGGTGCATGAACAGGGTTGGCACCTCAAGCCTCGTTGGGACCCTAAATTTGACACTGAGGAACGCTCAGTAAACCCGGCCTTTCTTGATTGTCATTTTGAGGCTTTTCTCCTTCACTCTATAATAATGACTCGATTATGTGTACTTTCGTTTTCAGTAGCAGAGAGAGCATGTGAATGGATTCTGAAATAGCTCCCACACTGCTGAAAATGGCAGTTGGGAATATAAAGTAGATAAGTGGTTTGTCGGTTTCAGTATGGTCATGGTTTATTAAAAAATGCAAGAAGCAGAATATTTTCTAGATAAAACCGTAAATGGTAGATGTAGTCAGGCCAAGAAATTAGAAGGCAAGTCCTAGATGGTTTTGTAATAAGTTTTTTGGAACTCT